CACTCCTAAGTTCTGTGACCTTAAGAAACCTTACCACTCGGATAAGGTTAATGAGCATCTTCACTATGCTATATCTACATTACGGAGGAACGAAAGGTAAAACTCAGGCGTCTATAATTTAAAAATGAAATGTCCAAAAGCTGGTTTCGTTATCACATTTGATAAGCTCTGTGAGGGGAAATTTTGCTTCATAAGTAGGTTTCCTAGACTACCAGTATACCTGATATAAGAGATGTATTCAGCCTATTTCGCTTAAGGTGATAAAGGACTGGTAATTGAATTTTCACGCAATGATATGAATAGTCTCCATTTTATAATGAATTTTACACAGCCTTACTTCTCACAAAGGGTTCGTATCCAGGCCGAAGCTAACTGCAGTTTCGACCTCGTTTGAGCTGATCTCATCAGCAGCCACAGCGGGACTCAACCCGGGTAAAGCAGTGTACAGTCTAGACACGTTAGCCACTACGCCAAGCTTCCACGAGTGCCATCGAGCCACAGGGCATTTAGAGTCAAGCACAGCTGCGATAAATGCCAAATAAGACGAGAACTTATGTATTATCTTTTTTATTTCTCGTCTATAGGTAGATTTGTAAGACAATGAGTAGGTCATTTATATATGAAGTATATCCACCCTATTTCGTTCAAGGCGATAAGGTATATTCATATAATTGTGGGATATATTCAGCTACTAATCCTCCCAAACGAAATAGGGTGAATTAACTTCATATGTAAATGACATACTAGTAGTCTCGAAAACCTACTGATAAACGAAACATATGTAACGTAGTCGATTGTTATAGCTAATGCAACCCTCCTTCATCGACAATCCCACCACAGAATGTGGTATGGTAAAATGCTCGGCCTTCCTTCAAATTTACATCTGCCCTTTGATCCAAGAGCACTTGTGGCAATGATGCGTAATGGTTAATGTGTCGAGAGTATACGCGGCACTGACATGATTCGAGTCTCGCTGAGGGCGCTGATGAGACCTAGGCGAGGTCGAAACTACAGTCCATTCTGGATGAGAACATCCGTTGGAAAATCAAGGCAATGTAAAATTTAATGGAAACGTAACGTCTACTCATATGGATGCGGGAAAATTTAACAACTAATCCCTTTATCACCCTAAATGAAGCATGGAGAATATTGAAGGTATGAAGAACAAGATGGTGTGGCCTTTTGTGTGGTCACAGTCTCCTTTAGTTGTATAGAAGTTGATTGACCTTGTTTTCGCAACTTGGTCATATTGGCAGGAAGACCTAGAGGAACGTACCTAGTTCGGAGTCCATTGTATGCATGATCATTTCCAGTATAGGACCGTGGACGTGGTACATTCCCAGACGTTTCGCCGGCATCGTATTCGGCATCGTCAGTGAGTCTCGCCATTCGTAGCACTATATTACAACTCGTCAAAGGGACAAGTCTTCCTACCGATATGACCGACTTGCGAAAACAAGGTCAAACAACTTCTATGGTGAATATTCTTCATATGTGTATATCTTTTATTTCCATTTCGAGTAGAAGTGTTGGGTGACGAGATTCGAAGGTCGGTTCCACCAGAAGACGACGGCGAATTCCTCTTGA